CCATGCTTATGATATACGCGCGGTTCCATTGCCAGCATATGATTATTTGTCCACCAATATTTTCCTGAACTCACCTTCCTTATGCCTGCGTAACGCCCATAGCTCTTTCTCTCTCTCTCTCTCTCTCTCTCTCTCTCTCTCTCTCTGCCTGAAATGACTCGATCCCTGCATGCTTTTGTCCAGATCCTTGAACGCATTCCGGCAATTGTCCCAGTCTTTTCGGAATGCGTTCAGTCGCTAGATGGCGCAAATACTTTGGTTTGGTATCGATGTGTGTGTGCATGCGTGTGTGTGCATGTGTGTGGGTATCTCTGACATTGCCGCAATTACTTTGATTGGTTATCAAGGCTGCACTGGGTCTCATTAATGCACGGAATTTCGCATGTAATTGAGACAATGTGGGCAACAAAAGAATTCGTCAGAGCGAGACAGAGATGGAGTGTGCGAGAGAGAGAGAGAGAGGGGGGAGAGAAAGAGGGAGACCTTGCCTGTTGCTTTCAATTGAGCAGTTGTCATTTCGGATGGCCGCAGCAATCTTTCATGCCACAAGCACAAACGATGCATCAATGCATGCGGCCAAGATATGCGAATGCAATATGTAAATGGCAGGAGCCGCGACCACGCCCACAGCGTGCCACAGCCAACGGCGGGCGTGGAATGCAACATAATTGACAGTTAATATGTTGCAGCTGCCGCCGGAAAAATGAGAGATGCAAAATGTGAAGTGCAGAATGCGAATTGCGCCGAGGTCAGGTGGGAAATGCGAAACTCATCCTTCATATTGGCATGCACTTGACGGGGAGGGTGGGGTGGAGTGGCCGCACACAAAGGAACGATATCGATAAACAAAGGCTCTTCCCCACAAAAGTTTAATTCAATTTAAAATTCGAGACGCCGACTTTGGCCCGAAGTTCGGCCACGTTTGCTGTGGTGCTGCATAAAAAGTTGAGCATATTCATAAACCTGCATGCAACATGCGGCGTGCGGCATGCGGCATGTACGGCCCGTGACACGAATAATAATTGTGCAGCTGATTTCATTTGCGTTTCTTTTGTTTCCCTTCCTGCTGCTTCTCTCATCCCAAAAGGGATGCACTCCCTACAATTTGCTTGAGAGGCTGAAGTCTAATCTAGTTGAGAACTGTAAGCAACTGGTCGAGATAAATGGAAGCTTATTAGCCCATGAAGTCAGTGGAAATTCGTGAAAAGTAATATGTGAAATAATATGTGAAAGTAAAAAGTTCACATGCTAAAAAAAAATCAAGCTAATAAAAAACACTTTGGGTACTGTATGAAGTAGAATTTAGGAATTGAATTTTTTTTTTTTTTTTTTTTTCCTAGTCCTAGTCTTATATATAATTCAACAACTGAATTTTTTTTTTTTTTTTTTTTTTTTATTAGCAAATTCCTAGTCATATACGTATAACTAACCACAGTACTTTATATGTACCTTTAGTAATGGGAAAAATCATAGATATCTGATGCATCTAATACAAACGTGTTCAGGCCCTATCAAGGCTTAAACACGAGCTTTGTTCTTTGCTTGTTTCAGAATTCTTGGGCAGATTATATATATTATATATACTGTATACTGTATATACAGTCGAGTCTCGATAATTTGAGCCCCGCTACATCGAAAATCGAGATAAATCAAAAAAATTCTATCCCCTTGAAAAAAAATCGTTCTCGATAATTCTGGATAATTTGAATTTCTGTCTAAATCGATAAAAATCTGCCATTTCGAATTATCGGAACTCAACTGTATATGTAAAATATATACATACATATACATACCATCAATTATATATGTATATTATATATTTATATGTTGAGTTAATTAAGCACTCGAAGCAGCTAGAAGCCGAGTCTCTGGACAACAAATTTTGCTTGAACAAAGCTCTCTTGTGGTCTCAACTTATATAAATATATATGTCTATGTATATATATATATTCATATTCAAGGTGTTTGCGGCTTACTACTGCACTGCTCTCATCACATTAATTTAATTATTAATATTTGCATAGAGCATCAAGTGAATTTTAACTATTTGCCATTAGCTTTGATGAAATTCTTAGAACATTTTTATTTTGTTGTTGGAGCTATTTTTATTTTTGCGGAATTCGAACGCTGGGCTGGGTGCGGGAGTGGAGGGTCGCGTGGTGCTGCTGCGGTCCAAATAGAAATGCGCTGAGAACTGTGCTTAATTAAAAATTGTAAGTGGCAGTAAATTAATTATAAAACGCAGCCCGCAAAGTGTTTGGCTTGCAGCGGCAGCAGCGGCAGCAGCGACAGCTCCACATGTGGGCGTTGTCGACCACAAGGCATGGCCAAGCACAGGTGTGGAGCTTCGCAGTTAGCAAAGTCTCTCTCTCTCTCTCTCTCTCTCTCTCTCAGATACACGCACTTAACTCCTTCTCCCTCTTTTGCGGTAGCTGTCAGCATTTTAAATTTCTTTGTGCATCAAAAGCAGCTATGTTAATCAAATTTAAATTCCTGATTATGTTTGCGCCCATTTAAGCAGGCCAGCTATGCTGAGCGATGGGCGGCGCATGGCTGGTAGGCGTGGCTGCTCTCAATATGACATCTCAGAGCTACTATGTTGATCCAGTTGCCAAAGGCCGAGCATTCCACATAATTTCAACTGAAACTTGTCAGTGGAATCTGAATGAATGCCAACACACACATATGTACATACACTCGCCCATCCACACACACCCACACACACATGTGAAATCCGAACTAATTGTCATTTGCAACTAACTGAAAACAACTATTTAAAAACAATTTCATTGCAAATAAAGTTAATATAGAGGATAAACTGCGCATGCAGCAAAGTCATTAGAGGAAACAGTGTTGGCAAATTTCAGTTAATGCAAGTTTGAGTGGCTCCACCAGTTGGCAGTGTTTGACAATGGGATTACCCGGAACTCTGGGCAGAGCTGCCGCTTGAAACATTTAATTTGTGTGCTGTGCTGCAGACAAATTATGATCGCAGTTAGCTAAATGGTGTGTTTAGAATCCCTAGTTAAATGAGCAGAATAAAAAATATCGATTTTGATCGATTTAACTGTATATCGATTTTGAGATACAACAAGTAAATGGAATGAGTTATCGTCAGACTTTTATACATAAATAGGAAAATTTTAATCTGTTGTGGATTCGTACGATTCTATGGAAGGACGGACGGTCGGACAGACGGACAAACGAATGGTTAATTCAGCTGATCAAGAATATATATACTCTATAGACTATACTCATAGGCTCACATGTATCCTTCAGTCACGCCTCCTTCTACCAGACCTCTTTCGTTCACCCCTCTTTCTCTCATGTTTACTCCTACTACTGCCTCCTGCTGTTATCCTTGCCTTTATCACGCCTCCTTCTGACAGTCCACATTGTACCAATTCTACTCGAACCACGCCTCCTTCCTTCTCTCACACCTTCTTTTGCCACCCCTCCTTCTCTCACACCTCCTCCTCTCACACCTCCTCCTCTCACACCTCCTTCCGCCCCACCTTCATACGCACCTCCTTTTTCCACCCCTCCTTCTCTCACACCTCCTTCCGTCACCCCTCTTTCTCTCGCACCTCCTTCTTTCACATCTCCTCTTGCCACCCCTTCTTCTCTAACACCTTCTTCCCTCACACCTCTTTCTCTCACACCTACTTTTTCCACCCCTCCTTCATACGCACCTCCTTTTGCCACCCCTCCTTCTCTCACACCTCCTTCTCTCACACCTCCTTCTCTCACACCTCCTTCCGTCACCTCTCCTTCTACCAATCTTCAATCAACAATTATGCTAAAAGTTCTCTCCGCATTTCAATACCCTGTAAAAAAATCCTTATGGAAAACCAATTCATTTGACCCCCACTTAAACGAATTTTTCGTGCACAATTCCAGCGAAATTGAAGTAAAACGAAACGAAATGAAACGCAATGGAATTCCAGCTGCAAATAGTTTTGTCAACTGGCCAGTGTTGCATAGCGCAATTCGCTGACCGCAAGTGTTGCCAGATGGTTGCGAGTGTGCGGTGTGCGGTGTGTGGTGGCCGCTGCTCGATTGTCGCGCTGCTGCATTTTGTGGCAATTGTCAGCGAATTTTGCAAGTCAGTCTAGGTTTTCCCTGCCCCTTTCTCTCTCTATTTCCGTCTCTCTCTCTCTCTCTCTCATTTTTTTGGTTACTATTCATCAGCCACAGATCGACAGCTCAGCGAGTGCGGCGCACCTGTGTCACATGGACACACACCTGGCGTTGTTGTAGTTTTTGTTGTTGTTGTTGTTGCTTTTTAGCTGCTTCGTCAGGTCGGTGAAGCGTGCGGCCGATTGAAAATTTAATTTCCCGCCCATGGCAGAAGCGCATGCAGCGACCTAAACTACAAGCTGTTAGCCTGGGTGCCACGCCCAGCCGCCCAGCTTCCCAGTTGCCCAGTTGTTTTTTTTTTTTTTTTTTTTTTTTTATGGTACGGCCAATGTATTTCCGCCATTTCAGCGTTTGCTCTGTTCCGTTTTCACTTTTCACTGGAGTTCGATTTGGTTACGCTCTCTCTGTCTCTGTATATCTCCCCCTCTCCCTCTCGCTGCCTCTCCGTCGCGCTGTCTCTCTGTTAGCTGAGTTTGTCTGTCGTTTGGCCTTGTTTATGGCTCTTCATTTGCAATAATCCAAATTGCCATGGCTACCACCAGTCGGTCCAACTACCCCAACTGTATTTCCTGTTTCAATTTGCTGATTTATTTATTGCCTCAGCCGACAGCAGCAACAACAACAGCAACATGAACAGAAGCAACCGGCGACAACAGCAACAGACAGACCTACACAGCCGCCCACTTGACTGATTTCCGTATTCTTGAAATGAGAAGAAAAAAAATCCAAATGATATATGTATATATGTATTTGTGTCGATTTTATATCTATATTAGTATCTGTACCTGTATCTGTACATGTACCTGTATCTGTGTCTATCTAATTTGAGCTCCATCCGCTTTTGAATTCACCCTCTTCAGGTCTCTCCAATCGGCCATTGGGCCCGCCACATCGCAAGAGCAGTCTACCAAAGCATCAGGAGGTGAAGCGTCGCTTCCTGCAAATTTGTGATACCAATTTTTCGGATGAGGTTAAGGCGGCCTTACGTCTGCCGGCGTTCGATTCATACGAATGGGGCGATGCGGATGTCATACACCTAATGCAGACCATGTTCCTTGAGCTCGGCTTCGTTGAGAAGTTCAGCATACCCGTCGACACGCTGCGCGAGTGGCTCTACGAGGTCTACAAGCACTACAACGAGGTGCCATTTCACAATTTTCGACACTGCTTCTGTGTTGCCCAAATGGTAAGTGTATTAGATATCGGCTAAGTGTATGTTTATGTTTGTAATAGGTGCGAATAGATCGGGTAGCTCAAGTAAGAGTTATTTGCTTAGTGAATAGCCTAACATCTCTAAGCTGCATCTATTTAAAGCGTAGCTCTTAACCCTTAAAGATGTGCCAAGGAGGTAAGACTTGATATCGATTTTAATCGATTTGTAGGACAATTTAAAAAGTTATCGATAAGCTGCATGTGCTATACAAGAATTTAGCACTATGTAGAGTCACTTATATATTTCCGTCTACCTCGCTGACAATGCCTTAAAGGTCTTAAGTGTTTCAGAAAGCAAAGAATCAAGTGTTGGATAATGCTTGTAAAAAGTTTTCTATAATCTCATTCATTATGAACTTTAATCTAAATTGATTCTATGTAAAGTCTAAATCTATTTAGCTTTCTCTCAGATAGTTCATATATAAATAAATAATAGCTCATCCCATGTCTGCACAGTATTGCAAAGGAATTTGTATGCAAAATAAGAAATTTCCGAATGCAAACTTAATAGTTTCATTTAAGCATTTGCTCTTACTCTAAATACCTGGCGCTGTCTCTGCCTCTGCCTCTGCCTTTGCCTTGTTATCTGTCAGTTGATGTATTCAAGCCTTAAATGCAGCTTAACTATTTATAATAACAGAAATGCAAATGTCCTTTGGTTATCCCTGCACACATGGCCCGCACAGACTGCTCAGCGCCTCAAATTGAATTCAATTGTAAATTGTATTGAAGAGATGCTTGCTAAATACATTGAAATATGAATAGTTCTCCACAAGAGCATGTAGATATATATGTATGTATGCATGTATGTGGGAAAAGAATGCCTCAGCTGCATGCAATCAATATTTGTTATCTCTCTCTCTATGCGTGTGCTTGTGTGTGTGTATACCAGTTTGTATGCAGCTGAACAATGGACGCCGCGTTGTATGCAACAGAAAACGCCAAAGGCCGACTGAGTGTGTCTGGCTGTGTGTGTGTGTGTAAGAAAAGGCCTATTTATAGCTACCAGAACAAACACACGCACACACACACAGACATATTTATATGTATGTATATATACATACACTCACACACACACAGCACATAAAAATAGCAACAACTGAAGAGCCAAAGAAATGGACGCGCCAAATGTTGTTCACTCCTCGCTGCAACAGCAACAACAAGAGCAACAGCAACAACAACGAGCAGCAGCAGAGCAACAACAACTGGCAGACAGACAAACAAGCTGACTGGCCACTAACCGAAAAAAAGCACTCGTCAAGCATTTGGACCAAGCGCAACACAACAGCAAAGAAAAAAAAAAACATGAAAATAAAAAATTAAAAAGCAGGAAACAAACATTCAATCAGGCCTAGCCGACGCTCAGATGTCCTACATATATATATGTAGCAAAAAATTATATGATGCAAATTTGAAAAACAGTGTGGGTAAACGACAAATGGCAAATAAATTATATGATACAAATCTATATATGTCTTATAAGTTTTAGAAAACAGTGCTGGTAAACGGCAGAAGACAAAGAAATTATGTTATACAAATGTATATATGTATGACTTATAAGTTATGGAAAACAGTGTTGGTAAACGACAGAAGACAAATAAATTATATGATACATATTTGTCGGAGAATGACTGTAGATATCGATTGGTAATATCGATAGTTATATGCTGTGAGTGGCAATCAGGATTACTAAACTTCTCGATTGCTGAGTGTAGTCCGTGTCACGTAGTGTTATGAGGTGGCAACGTGTAGTATTGCCAGATTGTCAGAAGACGACTCGGGGCAGATGACTTGCATTTGAAAATATGAACACACGTACACAGAATTTACGCAGCTCCAGCGTTAAGAAGAATATGTCGGCAAGGGCTGATAGAAAAGTGACGACTATTCCATCCGATGATGAAATAGTTAACTACGAACATGATAACGAAGACCCGACATATTTATGTGTCATAAGTTTTGAGAAAAAAGCAGTGTTGGTAAACGAAAAAAGACAAAGAAAGTATATGATACAAATTTATATATATCTTGTAAGTTTTGAAAAACAGTGTTGGTAAACAACAACAATAGCATTTAGTGCACAGCAATGCCAAGGCCAACGTATTATATATTTCTTTAGCTATATGTATATCCCTCTGTATATACATACTTTGCATACTTAATAGTCCAGCCGCAAGACCCCATCTTAGTGTATATTAACAGCGCTAACCAGAGGCTAGCGAATTGCAAATTCTGTTGGCCAAAATTCACAAAACACAAAAACAAAAATGAATAAAGAAAAAGAAATGAAAACAAGAAAACGAAGGCGACCCACTTAGATGCTCAAGTGCCAACGAAGCATTTTGCGAGCCGAGTTTTTAACCTAAATTTTTACCAAATGAAACTTTCACTCTTTATACATACACATATAGTAGATATGTATGTATGTATATATATAAAAATATATGCATATAGTTTATTTTGCTGTTCGTTTGGGGCAACGATGAATTATTAATTTGCTGTTGTTAGTTGGCATCTTGAAGCTGCTTGGCCTCCAGAACTGGACCGTAGAGCACCTTAAAGGTGCAAAAAACGCTAGCCGAATTTATCGATAAATATCATTAGAGACATACAATTACAGAGCATTTGATATTATACTCGAAATAGTTTATAGATTAATCAAAGCGTGGTGGAAGACGAATTAAAAATTTTAAAATAGTGTTGGTAAGCGTCCATTGGAAAATAGTTGAAATAATAATGGCAAACAATTAATTTAATTATATATAGTGTTGTTAGTTGGGTATGTTTTAAGCTAATGTTGCTAAACGTTTCAACTTAATTGACTTTCTTATAGCTGCTACAAATCTTATAGCTAAATGGTAACTTATATAGTGTTGAAAGACGTTTTTATTAAAGTTTTATTCACAAACTAGAATTCGGTGTTCCTAAACATTAATGCAAAAATTTAACATTTAGTGTTGGTAAACTGTTGAAGAATTCATCGATATTCAATAAAGCTATAGTGTAGATAAACGATCAGCTTAGGCAAGGAATTCTACTGCCCCTCAAGAAAATGTAGTATTGGTTAACGCATTGAAACTGTATGAGATAATGTTGGTATACATCAAGACAATATACGTATACCAAATTGGCAATACGATTGTGTTCAGTGTTGGAAAACGTTGCAGTGTGAAGTGAAACTAAAGTTAAGAAAATAAAACTTGCAGCTTTAACCAGGCTTTACTGTACTGTATATACATGCGTGCYATGTGCCGTGTGGCCTTTGGCTTTATAACAAGCAAACGGAAAACTTAAAAAAATGAAAAGAAAACAACAACAAGAAAGAAAGAAAAAGAAAAGAAAAAAAACATTTCAACTTTTGACAACAAAAGCGCCCCGAAAAAATAAGGGAAAAGTGGAAAATTTATGGAATACGGAACGGAAAAGCGAAGAGCTGAAAGAGAATTGGAGATGAATATGGCCCCGGGGCAGCAAGGTTGCACGCAAGGCAAGCTGCAATTGTTTCACATGTGGCATGCCGCAAGCTTCTGCCACAAAATGCGCTCCCAGACTCAAGTTGAAAGCAGCTCACAGTTCACAGTTCACAATTTTTTCGCAACTTGCCGCCTGCATCTTGCATTTTCACTGTTTGCTGCCAAATAGTTTCGCTAAGGTAAAAACATACAGCGAACGCATGAGTCGTGTCGAGTCACGTCGAGTCGAGTCGCGTCGCGTCTCTCTAGCTCTTTACAATTCAGGCGCTCGGCTTTTTAGGTGGCCACACAAAGGACAACAATTGTTATTATTATTTCCATTGCTATTGTTGCTGTTGTTCTCGTTGCTGTTGCTGTTGCTGCCGGCACAACAGTGGCTGCGCGCATTGAGCATGCGATATCGATAGGCGATAAGCAATCGATTATTTAAATAACATTTGTGCTGTAGGCTGGCGGTAGGCTTATGCTACAGCAAATGCTGAATGCTTGCGGCTCGCACTGCCGCAAATGCGGCAATCATATGCACTGATGGGCCACAAGATACCCTAGGCAAGTATTTACCATATAAGAATTTGTCTAACAGGGTTGTCAAAAGTATATAAAAATATCAATATATCGTTTTTTTTCTATGAAAATATATTTATATCGGAATATATTTGTTGTCTAAATATCGAATATATTTTAAAGATATTTTTTATGTATTTGAGTGTTAAAAGAACCTAGCGTAAAATATAAAAATGGAATATGGTAAAAACGAATTATTCTGACTTAAAAATTGGAACATGCAAATGTAGTGTAGTGTGTCTTAAAGTAATAAAAACAAGAGCCTAGCACATCAGATATGGCGTCGCATATGAAAATAAACACTATGATAGTTTTAAGTACCGAATACTGGAGCTATACCGTTATAAATCATATAAATAAAAAATACTTATTCTTATTATTCTTTTTTTTTTTTTTGGCACGGATGATGAATTTATTGTGGGAAACCAGTTATTAAAAATCTAAATATTTTGATATATCGGTATTTTTAAAGTTGCATATCAAATATCATATTGATATTTTTCAAAACATAAAATATCATCGGTACGATATTTTTAAAATATTTGACAACCCTATAATCTAGGCACTCAGCAACTGCTGCAAGTCATCGGCACTGATATACCACAAGTTACCCTCTAAGCTTGGCTCTCTAATTGCACATTTCAATATACCAGCTATTGCTTAGCCAATATACCCAATGTAGTGCAATACCCTAGCTTTTATTGAGCTACAATCTGCTCATAATGCATACAAATACATTGCATAGGCGGTTTTTGTGAGTCCTCTCGGCATATGACACTTAATCTAAAACTCCTTGATCTACGCTGTGCGGCCTCAATGGCTTAACTTGTGGGGCAGCTCTCGTTGTCTAAACTACAAAATGGCCGCTATACGCGTCTGCATATGCGTTCGCCTGTATTTTACAATTCAATGGGCGTCCATTTGCATAGGCACTCATGTATGTATGGTCCATGTAATTTCCTCGCCCCCAACTACTTCGCCTTCTCTCTCTCTCTCTCTCTCTCTCACTTGCTATTTATATATATACATTTATCTCTCTCTCTGCCGCTCCGTCTCTACGGACAGGACACAAACAGCCGTTAAGCGGCTTTCGCTTTTGCCTTCCTGTCATAGACAACAACAATGCACGAATACAACAACAAAAAATCGTATGCAAAACAAAATAATACATTCAAGTACATATGCTTGACTCGCATGATACCCTGTAGAGGCTCAGTTAGCAAATGAATTTTGAATGGGATGATTCGATTTCTTGTTACATATTATTATGCTATTATATCTAAATATCTACCTCTCTTTCTCTCTCTCTGCTTCTCTCTCTCTATCACTCTCTCACTCTCTTTCTCCCTCTCTCTCTCTCTCTCTCTCTCTCAGTATAATCTGACAACTATAGAGCTAAATATCTTTCGATATCCAAGTCCGATATATAAGTAGTCCATATCTACCACAAGTGTAGGGCCGTAAGGATTAATCATGTTTTCGAAGGCGGGGCTCATAGGCGGTAACATTGTATATTCGACCCTCGCGACTATTCCCAATGTGAATAGCACGTGAATCTTATATTTGTTAGCAATGAGTTTGTTTTGACTTCTGCGTTTCAAATGGAAAATGCGAAGCTCGCAAAATTATGATGAAAAACAAGTTTGAGGCAGGGGTCTGGCGCATTCTTGAGCTATTGTTGAATGAGCTGGGCCACTATGGAGATATCCTTTTGCTATTTGACAGGATATAGTCACGGGTCGCAGATACCCTACTATTTTAGGGCACCATGCAGATCTCGCCCTGTTCTCCATTGCCCGACATTGCTGTTCGATAGAAACTACCCTTCCATACTCGACAGGGTGCTGCCTTCTAAGTAGTACTGCTACTGGATATACCCTTCTGGTGCTAGCCCAGGCATGAATTACAGGGTAAAACCAATAAATGTCTGACTGAGCTATTGAGCTGACAATGGGCCCAGTTGGCGTTTGGAGAGCAGCACACACACACACACAAACACACACACACATTATTACAAAGTGTTTTTCTTTTTCACGTTTTTTCGTTGTTTTTTTTTTTTATTTTTTTATGCCCGTTACCAAATGAGCGACGCATCAGCTCAGCTTTTCATTAACAAAGTGCAGTTTGCCAGTTGCCAGTTGCCAGTTGGCAGTTGCAAGTTGTAGTTGATTTCCTCGGGGTGTTGACGCTGCAAAACTTTTGCGAGTGTTGTGAATGGCTGTCGAGCATTGTGGCGGTCTGGGCTTGGGGCTGGCACTGGAACTGGTGCTGGTGCTGGGGCTGAGCTTATGGCGGCGGGTGATGGGCTTTTGTGGGTTGAGCTGACACTTTCCACATGGTCGTTGCGTCTGTTTGCTGACAATGAATTTAGATAAACTTGCGAAATTCGAAATGCAAACAGCATTTGCATTTGCATAAATTTATAGCAGCAATAGCAGACGCCTGCACCCCCCCCCCCCCCCCCCCCCCCCCTCCCCCCCAACCACCAAACACTCCCAGCTGCGCTTTGTCACGCCCCAGCAAAGATTTTGCATTCACACAGCGCTGCTTAATGCCAAAGTAAACGCAGCGACGACGACGACCGAAAACTTGTGCAACAGCAAAACTTAAGCGAGCCCTCAAGCACCAGATCTATATGTATATAGATATATATATATGTATCTATCCAATACTAGATTCCTCGACCCCTCAATTGCCAAGTCCAACTTTGTTGAGCAAAGCAAACTTTACGCTGCTTTTGTATTTCAAAAAGCTTAAATTGAACGCTGTTGAAATTCCTTAAGGGTCTCTTAACCAACCATCTAACCAGCTCTCTACCACAACCTCTACTCACCTACCGACCACCCGCCCGCACGCCCACTGCCCCTGCCCCTGGCCCTATCACTCTGTCGCCCAGCAGGAGGCGAGGCGTCTGCTCCTGAGTGCTGCTCTAGTAGCTGCTAGTAATTGCAAAGGTTTCGCAGCCGTTTGCAGCGGACAAATTAAGTTGGCTTTCAGCTCTACCTTTACCAATACCAGCAATACCTATACCGTTAGCTCTGCCAAGGGCTGCCGCTAAGGCTGCTGGCCAAGTTTAAGCATCAAATGCGATTTGGCTTAATAGTTTGCAACATTAAAAGTGCGCTCGCTGCCAGCCAACCAGTTGCACTCGCCGAGGCCGGCCCAGCTCCGCCACTTTCTTTAATTAGCCAAATTGAGAGACAATTCAAGATGGAGAATGGGTGTTAAAGACCAACACAGAGAGAGAGAGAGAGAGGGAGAGGGAGAGGGACAGAAACTGGGAGCATGAGAAAGCAAGTGAAAAATAGTTTGAAAAGTGAAAAGCGTGCCCAACTGCAGTTGACAGGATGACACATAAGATACCCCTTGAAAGCAGGCAAAGGGCTAGCTGGACTGCAAGTGTACTATATACAAATATGTGATTGATTGATGGACTCACTCATGTCAGTTGACAGCAGCATTCGGAGCTCAGCCTGACTAATGAGATACCCCTTAAAGGCACTGTATAAAACCTATTTAGGTTGATCAACTAATATATGAAATGAAATGTGATTGAAGAAATGCGTTCATCATGTGATTGATTGAGTGACTTGACTGATTGATTGATTAGGGTCTGAGGAGTTTAATGGTACAAGTTGTAACAGTTTGAGTTGATACTAAGATCAGGTACTCCAGCAGCCTGTGGCGGATCCAATACTGATGATAAACAATGATAGAGTATTGTGATTGATTGATTATGATTGATTGAACACACTTTATTTCTGGCTTAAACTTAAGAAACTAGACTAAAATTAAATATATATGTGCTTGCTATAGGGTATTCTAAACGAAAGCGTACCCTAAGTTTCAAAGTTATCAACAGCGATACACTACACAATCTATGCACTTACAGGGTATTTACAATTGAGTAATGAATTCAAATTTCTCGAATATACTTGTAGATGTATGCGATTACACGCCAAGCGAATTTACTGACTCGTCTGGGCGATCTGGAATGCCTCATATTGCTCGTATCCTGCATTTGCCACGATCTCGATCATCCTGGCTACAACAACATCTATCAGATCAATGCACGCACCGAACTGGCACTCAGGTAAGGCACTACCTATATGCATATAGATATAGTTATAGTTACTATATATAAATCCTTTTTTTTCCCATTTGCTTATAGATACAACGATATCTCGCCGCTGGAGAATCATCATTGTTCGATTGCATTCCGTTTGCTGGAGCATCCCGAGTGCAATATATTCAAGAACTTTAGCCGTGACACATTCAAGTGAGTATTACAGCCAGGGCAGTTGGCGTAGAGCTGAGGGACGTAGGGCTGAGGGCAATGGGCAATGGGGATTGGATCAAATGCGAGCTGGCAGCCAGCAATTTAATTGCCAACTTTGCTTGAGTCCATTTTATGCGCGGCACGTACAAAATGATGTTGCATTAAACGTCGGCACCGTTTGCCGTTGCCCTAATTAACACCCAACACGGACGGAGTGGACGGTGCGGACGGAGCGGACAACATGGCCAACATGGACAACATGGCCAACAGCAGTAACAGCTGCCACCTGGCAGGCTTATCGATTTGCTGCTCAGCTCAGCTGAAGCAGTTAACTCCATGGCTCTCTTTCTCACTCTCTCTCTATATATATATCCCTCTCTCTCTCTCTCTCTCTCGCTGACAGTCCCTGTCGTCTTTGTCGTTGTCGCTGCTTCAGCTTATTGCATTCTATGCAATTGTATGCGACACCCTTTTGGCACACGATGACACAGCGAACGGGCACGCAGCCGACAAGGGCGGAGCAGGTGGAGCCCGTTGGTGCCGTTGGGGCGCTGGGGACAGGCTGGGCAGGTGCTCTGCTAGGGGCAATGGCAAACCGATTTAATACTCACAAATTGCAGTTAAGCTGCTTTTTGAAAATACTTATAAAAGAAATACGCGCATTATGATTGAAGCATTTTTGCGTAAACTCAATTTGATTCGGATTCGGACACCGAATCTGATTCGGTTTCTGATTCTGTGGCCTTTCAATGCGAATATCGTGCCAAAAAGAAGATATGAAATAAATAAAATGCGACTGTAGCAGCAAAATAATTTTTATCCTGTTGCTTCTCATCTTTTGCCGGGCAATTTTAAGCCGTAATAAAATATGCTTTCGGAATTTATTCAGCTATAGATCTTGAGTATTTAACGTTAGGGCAAGCTCTACATATTCCTTTGTTTATAGCGCCTTCTCTCTATGTCTCTCTATTGCTATCTCTTTATATTCGCTCAATTGCTCTCTCTTATTTTATATCTCCCCTCTGCTATCTTCCCTTTCATTTAACACTCCTTGCTCTCTATCTCTCTTCCTCCCCCCTCGTTCTCTCTTTCCCCTTCTCTCCCTCTCTCCCTCTCTCACTGTCACTCTCTCTCTCTTACTGTCTGTCTCTCTTTATCTCTTTCCCCTTCTATGTCTCTCTCTCTCTCTCTCTCTATCATTCACTCTCCCTGAGTCACTTCCCTTATCACAATCTTATTCTTTACTATTACACCTGTCACGTCACTTTCTCTCCCATTCTCTCGCTCTCTTTCTCTCTGTCTCTCACTCTCTCTCTCTTTCTCTCTCTCTCCTTCTCTCTGTCTTATTTCGCATTGCAATATTTTCTACAGTATTTTCTTTGACACCTCTCTATCTTAATTTGCCATCCCCTGACAAAGCTTCTCTACTTTCCTTCATCTCTCATTCCTTCCTCCCTTCTCTATCTCTCTCTAACTCTTCGGCCTTCTGTTTCGCCCTTTCCTTTCAATCAATCAGCTGCCTTTAGACTCAATGCAAATAGGAATTCAACTCCAGTTTCCCTTTTACATGACTCCCTATAATAATTACGAACAATGCATGATTCCAGGCTTTATGCTAGCTGCAATCCTCAAATTCCAAATTCCCAATTCCGAGTTCAAAATTCCAAATTGCATTCAACCTATCAACAATGATGGCTGCCAATGGAAGTGCGTAAAAATATCGCATTTCTCGCTTTTAATTCAATCAAAATGCGCGCACAACACACAAAGCATATCACACACACACTCACATAGGTAGAGTCGTCATCCCCGCCCCCCCGTGTGGACTGTCGATAATTCTTGATTGGACAATAGCTGAATTCTAGGTCTGCAGCCTAATGCCAGCATGAATTCTAATTAGATACTCCATGGCGTGCCATTGTGATGCAAATTGATGCAGTCATGGGATGACAACAAATTCCGTGAATTACACAATAACGGGAAATATTATGTGGAAGCTCTGCTTTAGCTGCATTCCAAGCAACAGCTCATGCTTCAGAGCATACAAATTTTAAAGCAAATGCCAGCCATTATGATGTTTTCTTCTCCTGCTGCTGCTGCCTCTGCTGCTGCTGCCTCTACTGCCGCCTCTCCTGCTGCTGCCTCTGCTGCTGCTGCCTCTGCTGCTGCTGCTGCCTCTCCTGCTGCTGCTGCCTCTGCTGCTTTTAATGGTACTATAAACTATTGCTCATACCAATTAGCTGGCTGACCCTCGGCGCTGGCTACTTTAAGCTTATTATACCCTCGAAGGAGCGCACTGGACCATCCAGCGGGTCCATCGCCGCCTCCACAGGCTCCGCGGCCCTGCCGCGTGGCTTTTGGCTTCTGATTAATTGGCTTAATTCTTGTGTTGTGTGCACTTTCTGCACTCATTGCAGCGCATATATATTACAAAATGCAAACATTAATTAGTCGGATTAGTTGGCTGCAAGCGGAAATGTTTTTTATGCTGAATTGCGAACGGGTGTTGGCTGCTGCGAGGGTGGCATCCAAAGTAGCCAAAATGACAGTGGAATGGCAACTGAAGCCATCGGTAAAGTCGAATCTCTCGTCTTAACCTTGGCATATGGCATATTGCATCAGATATGCTGGAAGGATGATGTACCGACTATTCCGGCTAAAGCACCTCAGAGAGGCACCTCAGAGAGGCTGCTTGCTACAGTCATAGATGGCGCACCTGGCTACTGGACTAAGATCCTAAAGAGCTTACTCCTGCTGAAGGAGTTTTAAGGACTCACATGAGTCGCATGAATTGTATTAAGAGCGACCTCACTCGAATTTACCTAGTCAAAATTTCAGAGAACTCTTTCGAAGTATTTTCATGCATTCGATCATCTAGAAATCTAGCGACGTCGTGTTATCGATAACTTAAGCAGCTGCTTAAATATAGTTATCGAAAAGAAATCCCTACCAGTCCTTTTAGTCCTATCCTTCATCCTACTGACACTTTTATTGTTTTTATACTGAAAACAGTCGAGTTCGCCTTAGCAGCACTTCTTCATCTTCCTTATTGAAAATATATCATCTATAGAATAAGAATTCATACAAATATATTCTTGCCGTTCAATAAGGGATCGTCGCTTGCTCTTCATATACAAATCTTCAACTCAATTGAACGTTTTTGGTAGATTCAATCAATAGCAATTCCTGCCTCTTCAGGCTCAACCTAACCAAGGCTTTTCAAAGAAAAACCATATCAAATACATGGAAATGTTGCACAAATTCATTGCTAACATTCACGTCTCAGCAAATACTAATTAACAAATTGGAATTTCAAACTTGTGGCACGACCCTCGAAGAGTGGCATGGGCGTGGGCATGCCCACCATCATCATTAGCAGCCGAATTATCATTAAGATTGGCATTAGCATTACCATTAGCATTATCGTCATCAGAAGCTGCGAAGGATGAAAGCAGCTCTGCCTGCTACTCCAGCTCCTTCTGCTCCTGCTGCTCCTCCTGCTGCTGCTGCTGCTCCTGCTGCTGCAGCCCCAACGCCTTTTGCTTCACTGGCAAACCGCACTCAGAGTTTGGCACGTTCGAAAGTCCCGGCGTTGGGCGCCTTCACGATGTTTTGCTGCCAAGTTTGCGTGCATAAACTGATGCATACTTTTGGGAGTTTCTAATGGCAAAACTTGCACACACACACACACACACACACACACACACACACACACACACACACACACACACACACACACACACACACAAAAAGTGGCCTTGGAAATGCTATGCACCAGCTGCAGCAGTCGGAGTAGCAGCAGCAGCAGGAGCAGCAGGAGCCGGGAGTGCCAAGAAGTTGCCGAGCGATGCCACATGATACTCTTTGCCTATTTGTACGCTGTCTAACCGTGCATAAACATGCCTGCAGTCAACATCATATATTGTTTATGCACTCTCCCCTCTCCCTCAAACTCTATGGTCCATCCTCTCTCTCGCTCCATCTCTATCTATCTCACTCTGTCTGCGTCGTGGGTGTGTATTACCATGTTGCCACAAGTAATAATCAACTGGGAATCATCTCACATTCCTCTTCGTTGGAAATACTTTTGAGGGCAACCGGAATGACTGATGATTATCTACTATCATAACATCTTCCACTTACTATCTACAATCTACTATCTATTATTTACTATCTACTATCTACTATCTATTATTTACTATCTACTACTATCTACTATCTATCTATATCTATATCTACTATCTACTCTCTACTATCTACTATCTACTATCTACTATCTACTATCTACTATCTACTATCTACTATCTACTATCTACTATCTAATATCTACTATCTACTATCCACCTAACATTTCCACACTTTAAAAAATTCCACATCAGTCGAATGAGGTAGTCGAGGGTATTCATATTGGAAAGCTTTACTCTCGGATATACCCTGTAAAACAGCCGTAAAACAATGATTTATCCGGCTACCAGATGCGGCACTTCTCCGGCGGATGCATCGGGCTGCCTGCCTTGCAGTCGAAGGCCTCGGCGAACTCTGGGAAGTTGCCCAGCACATTGTTGACCCGTTCCCTGTGCGATGCATGCTGAAGGGCGCCGCTAGATGGCGCCACCGCCTGTCCGCACCAATTCTGTGCGAAAGCGACGAAAAACGGTCGCATCGTCGCATTTGCCGGCTGCTGCATGCGATACGCCTCGTAGGCCAATCGCAGTCCCTCGCTGTCCGCAATATTCTCGTTGATGGTCAGCGTGGCATTGCTGTAGCGTGCGCCCAGATAGCAGCCCGCGCGCAGACCGAATCTGATGATGGCTCGGGCCGGCCACTGGCCGCCAGCCACACGTCCGGCTGCATCGTAGTTGATGCCATCGTAGTCGAAGCCGTGGATGAGCTCGTGTCCGATCATGTAGCCCAGGCCGCCCATCAGCTGAGCAGCCGCCTCTGCCCGCCCGGCCGCCGCACAGTGGGGCAACAATGGGGGCCGCAGCAGGCCCAGCGGCAGCTCGATGGCATTCAACTTCAGCCTGTAGTAGACATTGACGTCCAGGGGTCCGACCGAGTGGCCCGTCCAGGTGATGGCCGATTCGCAGGGCAGCTGCAGGCACTGCAGGCCCAGCTGGAACTCGGCCTCCGACTGGGCGCGCGACAAGTGCAACAGATTCGAGTCGTAGCTGCGCGACTGCAGCACACGCTGCGGCGCCTCGCCCAACTGCTGCGGCAGCGACAGCGGCGGCGACAGCAGGAGCCGCATCGCGCGCAGCTTCTGCAGCGCCAATGTCTGCGTCGCGGCGTCCTGCTCGAAGATGGGCGTGGCATTCAGCAGGCGCTCGAACTGCGCCTTGATCGTGTCGAAGAGCTGCTGCAGCTGCAGCTGCGTGCGATTGAGGAACGCTGCGGCTGCCGCATCGCTGCCGTGCAGGAGGCGCAGCTGCAGCTGCGAGAGCTGCTGCGGCATCAGCTGATTCAGCTGCTGCAGGCAATGGTCACGCTGGGAGGCCAGCGATGCGTCCTCGTGCAGATGCAGCTCGAAGTGTGCCGGCAGCTGCAACAGCAGCCAGCTGGACAGGATCCAGGGATCGGCGCGCTGCACCAGCTCCTGCAGCCGCTGCAAGTAGCTGGAGTCGGCGACCAGCAGCAGCTGAGTCGTATAATGCTCGCCCAGCAGCATTTGGAAGTAGTCCAGCAGCTGGAGCCGCGGCAGCTGTGCGGCCAGCTCCTGCAGCGTTTGCGGCGCGTGTAGCACGAGCGTCTGAGTCGATGGCGGCAGCAGCGCGCGCAGCTGCCGCTCGAAGCCGACCAGCTGCTCGGCCAGGCTGGCAGCACGCCGCACTCGCAGACCCAGCTCCAGCAGCAAGTACTTGAGATAGCGCTGGTAGAGAAACTCGCTCTGCTCGCTCGTGCCCAGCAGCTCAAAGCTGGGCGGCAGCAGGTAGAAGACGCGCTGCTCGGCCGCCTGCCAATTGGGCTGCACCGAGAGACGCCACAGGCCCTGGGCGCCGAAGCGTCGCACCGCCGCATTGCCGCGCGGCCAATCGAAGCTGCTCGCATTGTTGAGCAGCGGCCAATCCGGCAGCAGCTGCTGCACTGCATCCATATAGACGTGCACCGACTGCCGGCCGTTCATGCAGCTGCCGTAGAACGAGGCCAGTTGATCCGTAGACGTGTCCTGCTCACCATTCAGCTCGAAGTGACGCACCAGCAGCTGCTTGTTCATGGCCCGCAGCTTCGAGCGCATATCGTGAGCGCCCAGCGATCGCTGCCCGTACGGCGCATGCCAATTGCCGCAGGCGTGCTCGTGGAAATTCTCGCACGGCGGCTTGCTGACATCCATGGCATCCACTGCCTCCGACAGGTCACAGTGGACAGTGGCGCTGCCCCAGCTCTGGCCAACGAGGAGGAGGAGGAGGAGCGACAGCCACGCCAATTGACAATTGTTGAACGTTGCCATTCCGACTTTCTCTTAGAACCGGACTGATCGACATTTCAGCTCAGCTCGGCATCGAAGCTGCTAAACAGCTCAACAGCTGATAAGCCGTCGCTGATAAGCTCTGACATTGAGAGCGCTTTGCGCAATGCCAAATCATTGGCGATTGGGTTAGCGAGTGCTGATGCGCCGACAGACAACAGGCGAGGGCGGGCACCAAAGTTACCCACTGAGAAGATGGCCAGGAAATCCTAGTCTTATTCAGTTCATTTCAGTTAACTAAATACTTGAATAGTTTGGGTTAGCTAATGATTGATAAACCAATCAACATGGCACAATGCTAGATATTGATCGACCTACACCAAGATTGATGTACTTACACAATTGAGAAAATAATTTAGGGAGTAATGCAGTGATTGATTGCGACTGACTGACTGTATTATAGTCAAAAAGCAAACAAATCATCAATCAGTGACTTGCCTCAATAATTGACAGTGATTGACTGAGTAACTAATATACATATATAGTTCTGAATGATTCACTGATTGGGCTGAAGCCGAATGATTGATGGTGTGATTAATGGTGTGATTGATGGTCTTACTTATATATTGCCTGAATCGTTCTGGAATAGACGAGCTGACTTATTCCGTACTGTAATAATTCATGCACTGAGAAAATCAAACGATTGACATGGTTAAATGATTGACGCGCTAACTTTATATACAATATTTAAATTGATTGACTAGTTGGCTTAATCATTGATGTTAGGTATTTGATTATCAGACTATTTAATTGCTATTGCTGATTGATTGAGTGATTAAACTAAATGATTGACAGAATTGCTTAGTGACTGACTGCGTCACTTACTGAAAAATAAGATGTTTGGTTCGTTTGCTAGCTTTCTGAATGATGCTAAGATTGATTAGTTGAGTGACGGATAAAATGATTGATAACTTGCTGGGTGATTGACTTCATACCTTAATGAATGATTGATTGACTGTAAGGCTTACTGATTGCCGTACTTTACTTATATTAATAGATTGAGTGATTGACATATGAAAATATGTGCCATAATAATCTATTGATTTATAATAAATACTAAATCTAAAGATTGATTGACGGCTTTACTGCTTGACTCACTCACTGTCAGACTAACTAATAATGATAAGCTGATATAAACGCTTGAATGATTCACTGACTCGCTGATTGACAAGATAAGTAATGCTTATTACGAGTAAGACGAATTCATATTAAACTCACCTTGGATTTATCTACTCAAGCTGCTTAAATTGGCAGCTCAAGCTCGATTTCTTTTCCATTCTCGAAACGCCAACAATAATTATTCGGGGAATTTCGCAAAAGAAATCTCGACTAAATGACAAGACACGATGAGCAGCAGGCGAAGCAAAGGAAGAAAAGAAGAAGGAAAACCCGTTGCTTGTCTCTGGCTCGGGCGCTGGCTGTGGCTCTGGCATTAAGTCAAGTGCATAAAACTCGCTTCGCTCTATTTGCCGTTGAGACGTGGCAGGTGTTGAAGTTTCGAATGCAGTAAACTCAAGTGCCACACACACACAAACACACACACACACACACATACACACTGCAGCTGGTGACTGACTAGCTGTTTGTCTGTGCACAACGTCAATGCCACTTGACACGACAAAATTCAATTTTCCGCTCGTATATGACGCGACTTTTGCACATTTTTCATTTTCTTTGAAATAAAAATAAACGAAATGCAATTTAATATTTACGCGCCGCATGCTGCTTAGCCTGCAACTATTCTCTCTGCCCCTCTCACACTTTCGCTCGCCCTCTCTTGCCCACTTGCGTCGTGTTTGGTTGCCTTCCCCTCGCTGTTTGCTCTGAATGTCAAAATATATATTTTTCGCTTTTTTCCGGTTAGCAGCGCTCAGCTCAAGTCTCAAGTCGCACGTGAGCCAAAAAAGAAAACGCAGAAAAATGGGGCAAATCGGTTGCGGAGGAGGGGGCTGGGGTAGATAAGCAGCGGGTAAACAACACACCGAACATGGCGTATACGCAATGTGCACCCAACAAATATTACGTATACGCCCCGCATCTCGTACAATTGGCTGGAGCGCAGACTTAAAGCGCTTTTGTTCGCATTTTACTTGAGTTTCGAACCCTATCGAAGTCGTTTCTCTATATTTTCTCTCTACTTCTCTTGCAGCACCATACGCGAGGGCATCATTCGCTGCATTCTGGCCACCGACATGGCGCGTCACAATGAGATACTAACGCAGTTCATTGAGATTACGCCCGTCTTCGACTACAACAATCGTGCACACATCAATCTGGTAAGTGGAGGAGCTCACTGGACAGATATGCAGAGACAGTAGAGTATATTAATTTACGATCTCCATTGCCAGCTGTGCATGATACTCATCAAGGTGGCCGACATCTCGAATGAGGCACGGCCCATGGATGTGGCTGAGCCGTGGCTGGATCGTCTGCTGCAGGAGTTTTTCGCCCAGAGCGCCGCCGAGAAGTCGGAGGGGCTGCCGGTGACACCGTTCATGGATCCCGACAAGGTGAGCAAGCCCGGCTCCCAGGTGCGCTTCATTGGACTTGTGCTATTGCCGCTCTTCGAGGCGCTCGGCGAACTGGTGCCCGAGCTCACAGAGCTCATCATTATACCCGTGCGCATAGCCCTCGAGTACTACAGGTGAGTTGTCGAGCCATGCTGAAAGGATACGCATTTCAAGCTCGACAATTTTCACAGGCGCCTGAACGATGCACAGACCAAGACCCGCAAATCGGTAGCCGACAGCAATGCCTCGGCCACATCGGACAGCAACAGCGGCAACATGGACTCGAACGCAGCCATGGCCAGCACGCCCGGGCACAATGCGGCCGACAAGCAATTGTTGGACAATAATAAGGGCTCAAATGCTGGATCTGGAGCCGGAGGTGGGGGATCTGGAGCTGCTGGAACTGGAGCTGCCACTGGCGGCGGCGGTGGCGGTAGCGGTGGCGGTGGCAGCGGCTCACCTCAAATGCCGCGCTCTGGCTCCGCCATAAGTGTCAAATCACGTCGCAGCATACCCTCACAGAAGTCGGCGTCGCGCACCTCCGTGGATGAGCCAGGCGGCATGGCCGCTGAGCTCCACGATCTGCCCGAGGGCAGCGAAAGCGGCGATTCGGAGACAGCCACCGAGGTGGATGTAAGTTCAATGACAAGTACAAATTTTAAATTGGGTGCAATCAATGGACAGACGGACGGACGGAGAGAAGGACAGGTGAACAGACGGACAGACAAACGGATTGACAGACTGAGGGATATACTAAGTATATGGTCAGACGAATTGACTACTGAAGATATGGAGAGATGGGCGGATTGGCAGATTGGACGGTCAGCTGAATATACGGACGGACAGATGAACAAACCGACAGCCGGACAGACAGGCGGGCAATGGACGGACGGACCTGTAGAGAGATTGGACGGTCAGTTGAATTTACGGACGGACAGCTGAACGGACGGACGAACGGACGGACAGGCGGGCTACGGACGGACATATACAGAGATCGGACGGTCTGTTGAATATACAGACGGACAGATAAACGGACCGACAGACGGACGGACAGACGAACATATAGAGATACAGATGACAGACGAACGGACGGACAGACGGGCAACGGACGGATGGGCATATAGAGAGATGAATTTACGGACGTACAGGTGGACGGATGAACGTCCACCATCTGTTCGTCCGTGAGATGGGCATATGGACATACAGACGGACAGAGTGACGGACATACAGATCAACATAAGGACAGAGTGACGGAGAAATAATCATAGGGCCAGAGGAGCGAATGGAAAGGCGGATAGAGGGCCGGATAGATAGGCGTACAGAAGAACAGCACAGATACGGACGAAACAGACGAAAGGATGAACAGGTGGACAGGTAGACAACGTTCGACAACACTACTAATGTGCTCTCTTTTGATAACATGAACTAGTATTAGAACCGCCATGAAAGAAATAATCGAAACCTAATTAACAAATGCATATGCACATCTTTTCAATGCTCTTCCAATGCAAGGTGGCTGAGAAGACATCCAAGTTCAAGGTGGACACGGAGGGTTGCAGCAATCGCAGCAAATCGTCGCACTCCACCTCACGGAAATCGTCGCGCGAGAAGCGGCCCTCGATGATTGGCGAGCTGTGCAGCAGCGGCGGAGGCCAGCGCATACGCAACTCGTACGGCAACATTCACGGCTATCACAGCAATCGGTGTCACTTTGGCAGCAATCGTGCGGTCAGCCTCGATCAATACAGCACGAACAATCGCCGGTTGTCCGATGGCCTGCCCCAGGTCATCTCGGACAGCAATGTCTTCTACGGACGACCCAATCGTGGCAGTCTCGAGGCAACGGCAGCGGCGGCCGCGGCTCAGGGGGGCGACCTCAATATGAACACCAGCAGCAGCAGCAGCGGTCAAGCGGGAGCAGGAGCAGCAGCAGGAGCTGGAGGAGCTTCGCAAACTGTGCACAGTCAAATGTTGTCGTCGCTGCGCGAGTCAGACAAATTGCCAGCAACAGATGTAGCAGCGGCAGCAACTGTTGCTGCCAGCACCACCAATGGCAACATATCGCCAACGCTGACCCAAACCTTGGCCAGCAATGGCAGTGCGCGCAGCAGCAGTGCTGCGACAGCAACTGTTGTTACCGTGCAGCAGCAGCACCATCATCACCACCAGCACCACCACCACCACCACCAGCAGCAGCAGCAGCAACAACACCAGCAACAGCAGCAGCAGCCCAGCAGCAGCAGCTCCTCTTGGAAGTCGCGTTTGCGTCAGTTCTCCGACTACTTCAGCTTCAGCTTTGACAAGGGCAACAAACGCTTTGGCAGCACACGCAGCAGTCCCTGCCCCGTGCGTGGCAGCAGCAGCGGCGGCGGCGGCGGTGGCGGTAACAACAATGCAACAGGCAGCAGCAGCAACAACGCCGGCGAGCCCAACGCCGAGTCGAAAGCAACGCAGTCGACCGGCACCTATTGCAACATTTCGAATAGCCCCACGCCGGGCGGCCCATTGGCTGCTGTTGGCCAGGCCGCGGGTGGCATGGGCCGGCATCGCGCCTACAGCTTGGATGTGCCCTGCAGCCGGCATGCGGCGACACGCTACAGCTCCGGGGATAGCAGCAGTCGCAAGTCGTCGTCGCGGCACGACGAGCACAACAACAGCAACAACACGCTGCACAGCAGCAGCGGCGGCATGGGCAYGGGCATGGGCATTGGCGAGCTGTCGGGCATACGTATTCGAATCGGCAGCGCTGAGGAGGGCGGCGGCAGTGGTGCCAGTGGTGGCAGTGGCACAACTGCTGCTGGCGGGGCAATCAAATTGCCGCCGAGCATCAGCTGTGAGATGGGCTTGGCCAGCGGCTCCTCATCGGAGCCGGTGCCAAAGATTTGACAACAGGGGAGCTCCGATACGACTAACACAAATACAAACAATTCGCTCTGCAATCAGGCGGCATTTCACACGGTCAGCACGGAGGAGGAGCCACAGCCGGAGGAGCGCCGCCAACGGCTGCTGCACCAGCAGCAACTGGAGCATGACGAAGAGGAGGAGGCCATCATCAACGACAGCGACGACGTGGATGGCAGCAGTGAGTCCGATGCTCTCCATCAGGACACCTCCAGCTGTGAGGTCTCATCGATGACTATGACCGTTTGGTCAGCCATTGGCCAGCGGCTCAACGCGCTCGTCTGCCATTGCTGTGAGCGCAAGCTGCCCGAGCCGGAGAATGTGTAAGGAGTCGATGCCAAATATAGCAACAATTGTGTCACGGACATGTACACACGCATCCATAGATACACACACACACACACACACAAATGCACACATTGACATTGCCATTGATATCGTTCATCGATAGTCGATAGTTGTCTATCAAAACCGTACAACAACAACAACAACACGCACATATAAATTTTAACTTATTGTTTTAAGTTGAGCGATAAACGTTTGTCAATCGTTGATTGTTTATCCAAAAACCACATTTAGACTCAATAACAATACCAATAAGCATTTATCGATCATTCATTGATAGCACAAACGAACTGTTAAGTGATTTATCAATAAGCATTTCTCAGTAGCACACTTTCGATAACAAGTCAGCAGTCGTTTATCGCTTAGGCATAGCCATAATTAATATCGATAGTCACACATCCATAATTACCATTCATTGCAAATTATCGATAAACAACACATGTTTGTCGATAACATAGTCCAATAGCATTTATTGTCGATAGTATCCATTTAAAAGTTCGCATCCTAACGCTTTCGATAATATATCGATGATGATTACCAACTTACAGACATGCGCTAACATATCGATCAAACTCATATGCAGTCGACTAACATGCATTTACAACACACTCACATACTGACAGTCTTGATAACATATCGATGTTCATTTGTCAGTCCCATGCAATAGCTTATCGATAATACATATCGATGCCAAACAGAAATAGTTGATAATTGTGCATTAATAACATACTCACATTCTGCAAATATCGAAAAATATATCGATATTCATTTATTATTAACGAGCAAACGTTTATCGATAACATATGTTTTTTTAAGCTTTTTTTTTTTAATTTTAATACTTTGTATGCAAATCTGTTCGTCTTTTATTTTGTCTATTAATTATTTACTTGACAATATATTAAATACAATTAATTAATTGATTGTAACAATATT